TCATTTCATGTTTGGCCTTCCTTGATTTTCCTTGGTAAATCAATCGGACATTTGTTCGTGGGTCGACAGCAACCAGCTCTTCATGTCATTGGCATCGACTGACCGTGGATGTCCGCCTCGTTGACCTCCTTTGGCTCCACGACTTCAACGCCAACATTCGCTAAGCTTATTTGCCCAATACGTAATTGAATACCTCCTTAGCCATCGTTTTCCCATCGGTGTTCGAACTTAAAAGCGAAAATCTCCCCCATTTCTTTCCATTAATCAAAAACCAATTTCTAGTACAATCATGTCTACACTAAAACATGTGAAAATGATGTTTTTTGAATCAGACAAGATCTATTTGTGTCTCTGGGACCGCTGGTGATCAGCACGCCTACTTGGGACGTGTTCAAAATGGTTCGCGAACCTGACTTCGATCGATTCCCGGCATGGCTTATTTAACTTATGTTAACCGCTAGGACGTGATTCTGCTTAGTGGATTAACTGACAGCCGTAAGGAGTACGCATATTTTCACAAAAAAAAATCACAGCTGTACTGTGCGACACAACGAATGGGTGTGGGTGAGTAGGTGAGACGAGAAATCAAATTATCGAACGTAAGGGCGACTCGCTAGCATTCGGGTCACCTAACACGCGAATCACCGACAAAGCGAACGAGACAGGTTAATTAAGATAAGATCAGACCCTAAGGTAGTGCAAGCTGACAATATGTTTGTAATGGAGTGGTTGCTGTCGTTAGTATCCATTATTAGTCTTGACATCGTGTTGTCAATGGTGTCATTCTTATTCGAAAATGCCTTAGTGATATGGCCAACTGTCCGTAATTTAGCAAAGTGCAATACAAAGATTTCAATATTTTATGCAGGAAAGTGCTTTGCGATCTTATAGCCCACAATTTTAACGATCAGTGACAATGAGTTAGGATCTCAAACACCAGGATTTACTGTAGTTCTCGCGTTCAGTCAAAGGTGAATGTAGGGTGTAAGGAGGAGGTAATTAATAAATAAAATTGTTTTTCTGAAAACCAAAAGTTAAAAAGTTCAGTGTTGTTTAAATGAACTAACAAACGCATCTTTATAAAGTATTAATTTACGTACTTACGAGAGGTGTAAAGTACCGTGATTCACCAATGTCCGGGTCGTGTGATGGCATCCGCAACTATGCTAGAAATAGATTTTTCAAACCGTGCGTGGTTCAAACACCGTGATGCCATTCCAAGATGAATTAATTTTCCAATCTTAAAGCCTTTTCATAAATATTGATTTTTCTCATGCGGATTCTTTTGACCAATCAGGTTGCAGGGAAGCGTGTATTATCTAGATCTGACCTCACTTTTGTCAAGCAATAACCAACTGTGGCTCTTTGACAGGCTGCCAAAACGACAAATAAATGTGACAGGCCGAGACCTAAAGCCACGAATGTAATTTGTTTGTAAACCCCGTAATCTCTGATTCTCAGACTAACAACGTGTTGATCTTAACTTTCATGCAAATAACCCGATAAATAGTTTCCTTCGTGTAATTCTGCGCATTTACGTGGCAGAGAGAGGGAGAGAGTGAGTGAGTGATAGGCCACTTCACCTGTGCTATGTCTTTTGGAAAAATAAACGTTTCGGGTTGGAGTAATTGGTTGGCTTATCCGGCAAAAATTGGCCAGCGCAACTTATCGCTTCAAATTAAATTTGCGCCCTCGCCAATGCGAGCCCAGAATTGTCTCCAACGGCGACTAGAAAGGTCGAAAGTGTGCTGGAGTGTGCACCCAAAATTCACACACAAGGCGTCTTTTGATGTAGGCTAGGTTGACATTTACTGTCCCGAGCGTATGAATACGAAATCTGGAGGGGATGTAAATCGCTTTTTTTGCAAAACTCTGAACCTCTCAATAACCTGTGGCGATCGTGAGCGAATCTGATTCAATGGGTTTGAGTGAGTGCACTTTACGTAACCGAGTTCATTCGGGGATCGGTGTTTAGTCGATCCTACATAAACTGACTTGTTATCCTGTCCCCCCCCCACACACACACACACCACTTCAGTATCAACAAACTAGTTGAGCTGCGCGCCATCTGCATTTTTCTACTCTTCTTTTGGTTGGGCCGTGTAACTGCAGATCGTCGGACCTGGTTTGGCCCCCAATAACCACACCGGGGCAGCAACAACCCCCTTCACTTATTTTCTAGCACAATGTGGACGCCTTGGCGACAGTAAACACAATATTTTTTTGAATATGCTGCACTCGTGTAAGGGTAAAACAAATTGGCCCAAGCTGTCCCAGTTCCAGGCAATAGTCATCTTTTTCCTGATGTACCAATTTTTGTTGCAAGTAGTAACAGCTGGACTGACACAGAAACTGGATTTGATTGAATGCATATTTTTCCTAAAAAAAAACAATTTTGTGCTCCTCGATCTGGTTAGTTTGTTTTCTTACAACAGCGTATCTGCCAAATTACTTTGACAACTGATTAGCAACGCTGAGTGGAGACCACACACTTGGTGGAGGAACGTTTCCATGACGCAAATTTGTGATCCATTCGTAATCTCTCTTTTCTTCTATTTAGATTTGATAGAGAGCCCTTTGAGTGACCTTATTTGCACATGGTGTGGGTGTGGCCGGATAGCTGATTTTTCGGCTCCTTTAAATTATATACCAATCTGGATTTTTTGATGACAGGTTATCTAAAGGAACAAACGAAGGCATATTAGGGTCATGTTGACTAAAAACACACTTAGAACGCTTGGATGACCCAGTATTTATCTCCTCAGTAGACGCAGAGGAACGCTCGGGTGTCTATTTCCCAGATGAAAACTACCCGCTGCTACCTAAATCGTACAAGTTACTAATGTATCTTAGTAGCACAATCATTTAGGCGAACTCAGGTTTCTTTAGTGCAAAAGTAGACTTGGAAATGTTTCAAGATAAACGTGAAGCGGTAACCTACTTGCCAGCACATCTTTAGGGGCTCTTACCTGCTCACTCTCGTACCTCCACCTAAAATATAAAATTAGTATCATATTTCCTTCTGTTAACGAAATGAGATTGCCAAAAAAGCTGAAAAGGAGCCAGAAAAGATGGCACCCGTTATTGCAGAATTGATGACTTGCCAGCGTGTCATTGGCTAAAACTAAGAATTCCTGTAACATTTTTAGAAAGTGCGCCAAAAATGAGAGGAAAGTATGTCTGTTCGCATAGATTTTTTTAAAAGTGATTCTCTGCGACAAATTTCTGCATCTTTATTTTGCTTGATTACTTTTTAATATTCTTATACAACATTAAGGCAACAACCTGGATTTCTACATTTAAGAAAAAATTGTTACCCAATTACTTTGCTTTCATCATCCAAATATATGCAAGCAGCTGAATGCGTTTCCGATGATTTTATGTTTGAACAAAAAATACTTTTTTAGCAACTAATTTCTTATAAACTGCCGGAAAATGTGGTGAAGTGCGTTTATTTTCCTCAATCTCAAAGTAATCATCAACAACCTGGTCTTTACAACTAAAACGCACTGATTTTCTTTAAGATGTTGTTTTAAACATAAACACTTCCTTCCTCAGACTTCAAGCCTGCTCAGGTCCCTAAATAATCAATCTCTCCTATGAAATTAAGACCAGACTAATCGATAGACAGACATGTCCCATTATTGAACACTCACATTTACAAGAGTTAAATGACTCGTCCTAGGAACTAGCCAATCAGAAATGAAGGGGAACCAAAGGGCAATCGGGTTGTCCGCCGTATTAATGAGTTTTGGATGTAGGCATCTAGGGAGACATTTTGTAATGGTTTGTATCCGGAACAGCGCATTCCACAGCGAAATGACTCATTATGTTGAAGTGGACACCCAATTTGTGGACAGACCGGCAGTTTGCATTAAAAGCCGTTGACAGTCCGTTAATCGGGGCAGAAATTGTGGCAAAACCAACTTTGCGATAATTCAACGCCCGACATCTCCCGAACAGAACACAGGAGAAGGTGAAGCCAGTGTGCGACTTTCCGATCACCTGACCGGGCTAATTGGTCACGTAAACGCATTCCCCCACACCGGCAAGGTCACTTACACCTGTGTCCGGCCGTGGGCCTAAACTAACGGCGCCGTCTTCGCAAAAGAAGCCTTGACACGCTTGTCAGTATAAACCCTTGTTTTACTGTACTGGTTTCGTTGGAACACTATTCAAAGTTCGACTAGCAGCGAGCGGCCCAGTGGTGAGTCTCCGGGACAACGTTCTCCCGCGGTGAGAAGTTTATCGAAGGTTAAAAAGTTGGGCATGTCGGTGGACTGCTTGCGTGAGGGTGAAGAAATTCGTGCCTTAACCACGAGACAGTTTTGCCTTAACCCCAACGATGCAACAGACTTGATTGGTTAGTGGTTGGAGGTTCAACAGGTCTCACGAACAATCATTTATTTGCGTGTGAGTGTGTGTGTGTGTAGCGAGTTTTGTGTGTTGTGTACTTTTGTATAAATACATTCTATGCATCAGTGTCACTTCGCCCTAGTCAGCAGTGAAGCAGCAGCTGCAGCACCAACAGAATCAGCGTTGTTAGCACGAAAGAAGGAGCAAGTAACAACAAACTACAAGCATCGTCGCGTTTCTCTCTTGAGGAAGATTTCGTAGCGTGAGTCCATCGATAAATATAGAGGGTACGGTGCGGCGACAGGACAACCAACGCACGCGCATAGTAACTTCAAGGGTGGTACGGCGATGGGCGATAAGTATATGGTAGCCAGTTCGCATACATATGTATAGAGAGAGAGAGGAGGGGAACAGGAGAGGGAGGGGTAAGGTTGAGGGGGATACGCAGTGGAGCTAGATCAGCGGGTTGGAATGCACACTCACGAGTAGAAGGGGGATAGAGGGGACGAGTTGAAGAAAGGAGGAGGAGGGGGTGGTGGTGGAGGGGGAAGTGAAAGCACCAAAAACACTAATCGGAGGGGGGGGGGTCAGAGGGCAGTGCGTGGGCGTCTGTACACGCGTTGCGGAGGCACAGGATCGGCCCATCAGAGGGGGTACGCGATGCTGGCAGCCGTGCTCAGGGACCCGCTGGGGTTGTTCGGCTGACTCGGGGTGTTCAGGCAGGATCGATGGACGTGGACGTTCTGCCAGACGCCCTGTCGGCGCGCCCAGACACGCGTCTCCTCGGTTTGTTGGGTGTACAGCACGTCGGACCTGAAGGGTGGGTGGTCAAGACGTAGGTGTTCACGATGGCCATTGGCCAAACAACAAAATCACGGAATCATGCCAAAAAGTTTCCTTTTAATGCACTCGGCGTTGACACCATCTCTAAACTAACACCTGCAGACGAAATCACACACATTGATTCTAAAGTACGCTTCTTTTTTTATCGATGACACAATTGGAACGCTCGACTTCAACGTGATGCTATGTTAGACAGTGTCACTTCTTTCAGACTTGAAGAAGCCGCTTAACGTTGCAGCTAACGATGGTGAGCTCGTCCAGGGAAATCCCTCCAGCAAGTATTTCAATGGTTTGATGTGGAGAAGGGCCTTACTTGTCGGTGAATTGAGTCAGCCGAATGTAGGCGATGCACGCGGCGTCCTCCGAGAGTATGTGAACCGTCGGGTTTTGAATCGTGGTCCGGACAGACTTGAACAGCGACTTCGGAATGACTGGAATAGAGGTATGCACAATTACGAGAACAGTGATAATAGTAATGGTTAGCAATTAGAGCCGACTCAAACGAAACTATTGAAAAAACGAGCGCAGCCACACAAACACACACACACACACAAACCTCTGGATTGTTTAGCAATGAAGCAGTGGGCAGTCAGTGCTCAAACGCAAGAGGCTATCTACCGTGGTTTGTGAGTGAGCCAACGTTAGAATGCTAGGGGTCTACGATAGTTACCATCAAAGTCCCTTCGGTGGCGTTTCTCCTTTTTGTCTAAAAACAACAATCGATGTAAAGTGGTTAGGGGGAGGGGGGTCACGGGGGGAACGCTGAGTCCCCAGCAAGTGGTAAAAGTGCGCAACAACCGTTACCTCGATCAACACTGGTGGAAGTTTTGGACTTGTGGGCTTCTAAAAGGGAGACCATGAAAGGAGAAGAGGGGCGATCGGAGCAGGGTTGTCGGTTGAGCACCGGAAGGGGGCAAGCAGGGGGTGGGGGTGGGGGTGGCGCGGGTTTTAGGTTAAACGAAAGTGAAAGCGCTCGAGTAAAGCTGAGTAGCAGTTACCTGAACCTTTTCGGTGGCTTCGCGATTCTTAAGGGAAATCGGCAAGCAGGATTAGGAGGCGGCGTGCGTCAGGCGTTGAAAAGCGCTACCTACAGGCCCTCCCGTGTGGTATGGACTACTTCGACCAATATGATCAGCTTATTTCGGACAGAAGTTGCGAGTAGGACGGCGAGACATCGTGCCCCAATTAGTGGCATTTCCCCCCATGCGAACAACTACCCAGGCACTCAAACAGCCAGCAACGAAAACGAAAACAACACAAAACGTAGTCCCCATTCTGGCAACAGATTCCACCTCACATAAGGAGGAGCCAGCCGTTTCCCCGAGGAGAGAGTTGGCATGAATTAATTAAACGCAATACCACGCACGCCCAACTGAGACATGTGAATAATGGAGGAATGTGTTAGTTCACTGCAACCACCACCGCCACCACCACCTCGATTGGCTACTTTTTAAATGGTTTGCTACAGATGTGCGAAAGAAGCCTCTGGGGTGGACAGGGGGAGAGGAGATTGTTTAGAGGAGAAAGAGGGAGTCGATTAGCAAGGTGTGGAGGAGGCACTCGTGGGAATTGTGGGGCGAGGTGCATGAGTGGGGACTAAACCATACCGCCAACACCGCAACACAAAAGTTTGCTGAGGGAGCGGGACGCTGGGGCCGCTACTGGCTCATCACGAGCACCGCTTCCAATGCTGTCTAAACACAGAGAGAGAGAGAGACACGGGTGGCTAGGGCAGGTGATTGGTGAACAACAAGAAGCCATGGAGCTCCAAGCAGACAGTGCGGCTGGTGGGGCAAGTGGAAGTGCACACAATTTGAGCAGTGTCCAAAAAGCATCTGACCTAAGTATCTTACAAGCATCTGTGAGTTGAGGCGCGTTTTCTACACCAAAATTGACTGAATTTGTCAAGGGTTCGTAAATTAGCCCAAGTTTAATTAAATGGATAGACAAAGCAGTTCAGGTCGATGTGCACGCGAAGCACGACAAGCTGTTGGCAGTTTTGTGAGCAGGTCGAAATCAAGAAAGCCCACAGCAATGGTCAAACGTAAGATAGCTTATCTAAATAAAATTTATTGCAGTTTGCGGAATGGAAAACATGACGACAAGGAAATGGTTTTTCTATGTAGTTCCCTTAGCCATACATTGTAGTCAAAACGCTACAGCTCCAGATCTCAAGACAAATTGTCATTTACGGCAAATTTTGGCTGTTGTTTATAACCAAAATAACATTCGACGAGTCAATTTGAGGTGCGCACTTGACCAACTGTATTGAACAAAGCAAAATACGAGCAAAAAACGTGGGTAATACGAAATCATAACTTAGGAATTGTCCTGGCCTATCAGGTCTCAGCTACGAAGTCATTTGAATTGAGATTTGAACCTATTGTAAATCAACCTGTCGGCTATCGGTACGCCTACATGAAGTAGTGTGAGAATCTTCCTGATTTCTCTTAATTGCTCGTGTTATGGCTCTTATTCAGCGATTTGACAAATGCCGGGACACAACGACAGCCCCCTCATCGCGAAATATTTGGTTGAGACGTTGGTCTTTCGTCGTTTTTCTAGTCGCGTCGTGTCAAAGTAGATCGTTGGCTCAGACATGGGTCCATCAGTAGCCAGCACTGGCTTGTGCCAGCGTGGATGCAATAGCACTGGGTCCACCGGTGGATTTGATTCTTGAAACCAGACTCGCGATTGTACTTATATTACCAAGCGCAAGAGGAGCACGCTGCCAATCACTCCAAATCCAATTGGAAATACGAGCAGTTGTTTAGTTAGCCTTCTATTCATCGGCGTGGGTGTACAGCCCGTAAGCCTCAGCGAAACTTGATAAGCACGCAATGATTGACGTAGCATGCAGTCACTCTGTCCGCTGGTAGTGCGGGAACTAGCGAAGAATAGGATTGTAGTGTGGATGCCTACCCACCATCAGCTGCGAATGCGCAAAACGTGAGCATTCCAGCAATCACAGCCCTACAACCGACAATTTAGCAACGCACTCAACGCGCGAACATGCGGTCAGAAAGGTCTGATTGGGTGAAAATCATACGATTACGCCTAGGCGCTATGGTTTGGGAAGTAGGAAGGGCTTCGACTGTTGATGCCTCAAGGGTGGCGCTAGTTCTAATTGGTCGAAATCAGCCAATCAGCATTGAGGATTCGATGTTATGGGATAGTAAGCATTCAAAATTAGTACTAGAGACGAGGGTTACCTAAAAAAGATATGCAAACATACCTTGGTCAAAGTAGAATTTGTGGAAATCACAGCCTTCAACAAGCGTTCCGCGTACGTCCGGTCCGAAGTAGGTGAATTTGGGACACATGAGTCGACTAAACAATAAAAAAAGTGTATTATGCTGGTACCTCAATAGAGCCCACAATCGTTTAATTTTGCTTAGCAGTAGCAATGGGTCAATGAATCTGAGAAGGACGTCGAATAAAGAACGAAAGCTTGGCGTTGATTGGCTCAGGATTCCGGAACCAGTTAAACACGCTTGAGAACTTCCGTAAATGTCGCGCTGAATCGTAGGCGGCATTAAAACAATCGGTTGAGGGTGGCGCTATTGCCTTGATTAATTTACCTTCGTGTAAGATAAAAATAGCCTTCACCTGTCAATGCCGATTAGAAAAAGAAGTGAAAGAGAGAATCCCCGAAATAAAGACTAAATTTCGGAACTTGTTTTGCAAACAACAACAAGGAGGATAAATTTCCCGGCAGCAGCGTTAGCATAGTTCGCTTATTCCTCTTCTTCTTCCTCAAAATCGACCGAACAGGTAAAGGTAGACACATTTTGGGTGCTGTGGCAAATAAACTTCGTGAAAAGGCGCCAAGCATTCAACTCATGCGACAATGTAACCCAACTCGGTCAAAATTAACACGAGGAAAGCAGGAATAAACGCCCTGGCAAGAACATAGTACAAAAATTTTGCTTTTGTGAGAACAAGTGTGTAGGCACTTCTAGTCAATTTCACAGCAAAAAAACTGAAGGTTCCACCAATCGGTCAGTCTGATGGTGAAGAGGTGTCATACGACTACTCTGAGATTCGCCAATTCTGGCCGGTTTCACTTGTTGATGACAATAAACATTTGATTTGGCTGAAAGTACATAGCAACGTTGAAAATCCAGCAGCCCGCTTGGTTTCGATCGACGCTATTTTCGACGATCTAGCGTCTCAAAAAGCAGACGATTTCAGCATTGAGTTAGAGATGCATCTTGCAGAAACTGGTGCTTTGTTTTCATACCTCGTGCATTGCTCTATGACTAATGTGTGGTTCGAGTATGACTTTCAAAGTAGAGAGTTGCTAATCTCCATGGTCGAATTATAACCAGTTCTGACACCGCAAATTGGCCTACATTCAAGCGTGAAGCTACTAGCTTGTGAAATTACAATTTTGCGAGCCAACTACATCCGAGCCGGTGGTAGTAGCGAAAATAACGTTATCGGTGGCACATGACAGCAGCAGCAGGTACGTTGTAAATGGTTTTGATAGAAAAACAAAGAGGGCGAGAACGCTGATGACACTTCTTTCGGACAGGCCTGGTCCAATCAAAATGCCGAATCGATAAATACATTCCTGGTTGGCAGCAGCAAAAAATTCAGCCACACTAAGTGACCGGCTTCGTTGTAGACACCTGGAAGCGCGATTCGATTGTTTGGATCTGTCAATGGCGGCCCACGTGTTAATTGGTCAAATTCGGTCGCACCATGGTTTCAACCAATCATCTGTATCTGTGTGTTGAATGGAAGATTGGTAGTCAATTAGAGACAAAGACAGACTGGTGTCACCAGCAAATCCTCGTTGAACCACCAAGGGTGCCTAGTTCTGCTCAGATGTGTCAAATCGCGGCCCACGTGTTAATTGGTTGCATTGGATTACGCCACGGGCTTTGCCAATCATCTCCGCGTGTTTTAACGGAGGAATGGCAGCCATTAGGATTTATGGACAGATAAAGAACACCCAGGTAGGACAGACTCGGATAGACGGCGGCTGTATTTTTGCACCTGTCTTCTACATACTAAGGCTCAGATATTCTACAAGATATTAAGCCAGAAACACAACCCCAACAAAGGACTTCACAACTGAGGAAAGCCGGACGTCAGCTGTTCACGCTAACTATGCGAAGCAACTGTCGACCTCAGAGAGTCCTTCAGATTTTGGAATTGGAAAACTAATAGTAACGGGTTTTCCTCACGAAACAAACCCCTTACGTGCCAGATAGCAAAATCTGCACAATGCACTCGTTCCCTTGTCATTAGGCGGGATTGGAGTTCTCTGTACCACAGGCAGGCAAGCTAGGTGATAAATTGCGCAAACCGGGAGGAATTAAAGGATACGTAGTAAGGGAAGTGCTATTTCGCGCTGCGCTGGACGATAAAGCGGGATAGAGGACATAAACGAAAGTGAACGACCTCCATTAAATAAATGGAAGCGGGCTGTCGGCGGTGACACACCGCCTTCCCCTGGGGGCGAAGGGGTGACAGGGGGGCAAAGGGGACTAGCGATTCCCCACCCCACCCCGAGGTTTCTGCGAATTGCTCGGTGCGATCCACACCGAACGTTGAAGTACAAGTCGTTGGCAGGACTTCGACCGCCATTGATGTGAACCAAACAGTTTTGGTCCGCTCTTGGTGATTAGGAAGTGAATATCCAAGACCGAAGTTATTCGACCGCTGTAAGGCACCTTGCGCCGCCGTTGTTGACTAGAAAAGTCGAGCGGCCAGACTTCAAAACTGCACA